TCGGCTTGCAAACCTTGCCGACAACTCGGAAGCTGCCGTGGAGGCAAAGATGTTTAAAGAAGCTACAATTGAGCGATCTCAGGCAGGAATAGGATTAAGAAATATCGAGATGAAGCTGGAGGAACTGATGGAGGCGTGCGATGAATTTGGTGCTGCCATTGAGAGCCTGAGATCGAAAGCTGAAATCAACAAGCTCAGGTTCCAGGAAGAGGTTACTGCTCCTTGGTAAATATGCTATTGTGAATATAAATTCCACTTCCTTTTCTATGTTCAATTCAATGTACTTATTTCTAGTTTATATCTGTGACCCAAAAGATGGCTGATTCTGCTTTGTATGGTGGTGGTAAACGACTAGCAACTAGCAAATTTAGCTATGTCATATAAGATAGGTACATATCCTCAATGAGGAGAAGAGATTCATCACAATATGCATTTTTGACTTGTGATTTGGGATATAATTGTGTTTAGAGGAGTACTAGGATTAGTCTCCATATGGTGCGTAGCTGATTTTGATCGTTCCTGCTTTGTGGATCTAACAAGCATGCCAAAATCAGCTCGTGTACGGATGAGCGACTGATCTTGGTATTTCTTGTATGTTTCTTTAGGAAGTATTTATCAACCAAAAGAAGTCGGTGTAGAAAGTCTTTTCATTTCATCTAGATATTCTTACACGACCTTGTATTAGTGGCTTAAGATGCTGCGGTGATAATAAACACTTTTCATGTAAGTCCCCTTCTAAGTAGGGATAGGTGCAAGCTTTAATGCCTCCGCTTCAGTCTAGTCCTGCAGTGGAGGATCTTTGAGATTTTGTCCATGAATCTTGTAACCCTTTCTGGTTTGGCCACTCCGTTAGTGCTTTGCATGTGACAGTCTCCAGATCTGTCGATACGAGATTATATGTATATGTAAGGTTCGATAGCCGTGGCTTGGCTGTCACATTTATAGCACTCTGCCTGTTACTGTGTTGCACCAATCCAATCTGCGCTAAAGACCCGGCTCCTCTAGCCTCCCACTTTCTATACACTTCAATCCTCTTCTATTTTGTGCGGTTACGGTTAAGTCACGTCAATATTTTATATTGATTTTTTTATAGAGATAATAAGACAAAAAAACAATGGTAATATAAAATGTTGACGTGGGAGGATGTGAGGCCATCTCTAACCGAGGGCTGGCCAGAGGGCTCGTTTTAGCCCTCTGGCCCTCCAAGATTCTCCAAGATATTAATATTTTAATAAACAGTACATGGTCATATTTGCCTCCATCTCCAACCGAGGGCCAGAGGGCCAGAGGGCTCGTTTTAGCCCTATCACAAAAAACCGTCTCCAACCGAGGGCCAAAGGGCCATAGGGCCAAACATAATTTATTATTTAAAAACTACAACTAAAATGTTGTATAATTTTTATGTTGGTTAATTTTATTTAATGTTGTTTCATATTGTTTAATGTTGTTTCATGTTACTTAATTTAATTTAATGTTGTATAATGGCTTAGGAAGTTATAGGAAAAAAATAGAATTTAAAAAAAATATGAAACAAATTTTGTGAAATAGAAGTTATAGGAAAAAAATGAAATTTAAAAAACAATATGAAGTAAATTTTGTGAAATAGAAGTTATTGGAAAAAAAATGGAATTTAAAAAAAATATATGAAATAAATTTTGTGAAATAGAAGTTATAGGAAAAAAAAAATATGAAACAAATTTTGTGAAATAGAAGTTATAGGAAAAAAATGGAATTTAAAAAAAAACCAAATTTTGTGAAATAGAAGTTATAGGAAAAAATAGAAGTTATATGAAAAATTTTGTAAATAAAAAATAATAATAATAATGTAAAAAAAAAAAATTAAATCAAATGCAACGGCTAGTAGCCGTTTCATTTGAATTTTTTTTAAAACAATCATGTCGGTTATAACCGACAGGAATACACCATTATTTAGTATATTAAATAATAGTATGTATTAACCGACAGGAATAACAAAACTATAAAAAAAAAAAAATAGCCAGCCCTCCAGCCCTTTCTGATCCCGTGGGGCCCTCCCAGATTCCAGAGCCCTCTGGCCTAGCCCTCGGTTGGAGACGGTTTTAGGGCTATTTTCGGTCCTCTGGCCCTCTGGACCATTCGGTTAGGTCATCTCCAACCGAAGGGTCCAGAGGGCCAGAGGGCCGAAAATAGCCCTAAAACCGTCTCCAACCGAGGGCTAGGCCAGAGGGCTCTGGAATCTGGGAGGACCCCACGGGATCGGAGAGGGCTGGAGGGCTGGCTGCTTTCGGCCAACCAGCCAGCCCCGGGCTGGCTCTTTTTTTTTTTAATGTTTTGTTATTCCTGTCGGTTATAACCGACAGGAATACATGCTATTATTTAATATAATAAATAATGGTGTATTCCTGTCGGTTATAACTGACAGGATTGTTTTAAAAAAAATTCAAATGAAACGGCTACTAGCCGTTGCATTTGATTTGTTTTTTTTTTTACATTATTATTATTCTTTTTTATTTACAACATTTTTCATATAACTTCTATTTTTTCCTATAACTTCTATTTCACAAAATTTGGTTTTTTTTAAATTCCATTTTTTTCCCTATAACTTCTATTTCACAACTTCTATTTCACAAAATTTGTTTCATATTTTTTTTAAATTCCATTTTTTTTCCTATAACTTCTATTTGACAAAATTTGTTTCATATTTTTTTTAAATTCTATTTTTTTCCTATAACTTCCTAAGCCATTATACAACATTAAATTAAATTAAGTAACATGAAACAACATTAAACAATATGAAACAACATTAAATAAAATTAACCAACATAAAAATTATACAACATGAAACTTAAACAACATTTTAGTTGTAGTTTTTAAATAATAAATTATGTTTGGCCCTATGGCCCTTTGGCCCTCGGTTGGAGACGGTTTTTTGTGATAGGGCTAAAACGAGCCCTCTGGCCCTCGGTTGGAGACGGATGCAAATATGGCCCTGTACTGTTCATTAAAATATTAATATCTTGGAGAATCTTGGAGGGCCAGAGGGCTAAAACGAGCCCTCTGGCCAGCCTTCGGTTGGAGATGGCCTTAGAGATGGCCTGAGTGTATGGGAAGTGAGAGGGCAGAGAAGCCAGGTTCTACATTTTATATTAATTTTTTTATAGAGATAATAAGACAAAAAGCAATAGTAATATAAAATGTTGACGTGACTTAACCGTGACCGCACAAATAGAAGAGGATAAAAATGTATGAGAAGTGGGAGGGCAGAGAAGCCAGGTCTCTGCACTAAAACCTCCCCATTCATCCAAACCTTCAACTTTTGTTGACTAACTTTAATAAGTTAAAAGCTGTTTAATAACTAATTTGTTTTGGTTTTCAATTGTATTTTTTAAAATAAAACTGAAAATAATGCTTAACTTCGTTAATTCCATTGCCACGATTAATTACGACAATGGTCCTTGAGTTTGTACCCTTATTTTACTTTGGTCATTCAATTCAATTTTAGATGAGTACGTGAGTTAGATTTTTTCTTTTTGAAATGATTTTTTCTTTTTAAAACATAATGTTGTTGGAAATGAGACGTTAAGAAGACTAGTTAAAGTAATTTTTCGACATTGTTCATCTGCTAAACTACCAAAACTTTAACAAAATTGTTGGAAATGCTCTTAGTTGATTACGATGTGATAAAATTGTCGAAACTAATGAAAGATTTGGCACGCTGAGCTAAAGTGGGACACCAAGTACCATGGATTTTGAAAACTAAATTGAAGCATTAAAGTAAAACTCGAGTACAAATTCAAGGACACTGTCATGATTAGGGATGGGCAACGGTTATGGCAGGCGATTATTTACCCATAACCGTTTATACTTATACCCGCATAACCGTTTACCCATTGGGTAATTGCCTAAACGGTTGTACCCATACCCATAACCGTTTATAAACGGTTAACCATACCCATAACTGTATACCTATTTAACCGTAACCATTTAATACATGTTTACCCATTTATCATTTTTAACCCGTTTATCTTTTTTTTTTTCTTTTCCCATTACCCCTTTTTCACCCGTCTACATGTTTTTTAACAACTTGAAAATTTAAAAAAAAAAAATGTCATAATTTTCTTTGTTTTTACAATTAAACACCTTTATAGGTATATTCATCATACATTTCCATATTTTAATTTTTCAAGTCCTTATATCATTCCAATAATTGAAATAATAGTTTACAGACGATATTTTTAACTATTACCAATGAAGGTAAATATAATATTTGCTAAGTATTATTGGGTTACAAAAATTGTTTAGAAGACATTTCTTTCAAAGCATTTCTGTCAATTTCACGATTATCCGCAAGAAATTTAAATTAATTTGGCCAATTCCTTGATGAGAATCATCATTGCTGTAGCAGTGTTATTGAGAGAATGACCGATGAATTCCTTGCTAATTTATTGGGTGCTAAGTATTATTGGATCGAGAACATGGTTTGTGTTAGTTTTACATATATAAAATAATTGAGTAAACTGTTACCCGTTTATAACCGCGGTTAATACCCATAACCGCTCATTTAAATTTCGCGGGTAAACGGTTATACCCATAACCGTTTATTTATCTAAACGATTACCCATAACTGTAACCGTTTAATTTAAATGAGCGGGTAACCGCGATTACCTGTAACCAATGGGTATTTATCCATCCCTAATCATGATTAAGGGACGAAGTACAGTTTGAGAAAATAGAACTTGCAAAAATCATTTCTCCATAATTATACTTTGTTGCCAAGTTCTGGAAAGATGGTGGGTTGATCCAAGAGTACAGCTTAATTGCAAGTGGTCATCTACCATAGTGGTAGAGATGAGTGTGATGGATGTTGCCTTTACACCACAGTGTGGGTTCGAACATCAGCTCCTCAATCTAATAAATCTATCGTTTTACACCAAATAAATAAATAAAAAAATAAAAAACTGAGTACAGCTTAATTACTTTGAAGACAATTACGATGGTTTAGTAACAATAATACTTCAAAATGCTCAAACAAATTAAGGTGTCGGAGTGACATTTGATTGCATAAAGGTTCTTCCACAGCAAACATTTTTGTACAATGAACAGCCAAAAATACCAAACCCCAATCCAGATAAACTAAACAGATATAAACTTTGAAATTAAAATACACCAGAAATATTGGAGAGCACTAATTAAAACCGACCAATCACTAACAGAAACCACCACCTCTCTAACTTTAACCAAAAAACTAGCGGTCAAAATACAAGAGTAACAATATTCATCCTCCTTAATTTCTCTAAAGCCTCCAAATGGTGAAAAAAAAAATTAAAAAAGTACTCCCCACACCTCTACAAATTCATCACCACACCCTCTATATTCCAATCTCCACATCTCTCCAACTTGACCCTCCTTCACTCAACACCTCCTGCAACAAAAAGTAATACCACCACCATGTCATATAAAGATCAAGTCTATTGTCTTCGATAAAACGATATTCTAAACTATTGGAGTTAAAGGGGAGCGGATTCAAACTCAGGGGAAAAGAGGTAGGCACCGGACATACTGCATCAGCTCATTGACCTAACCCAATATGTCATCGGCCAACTAACCTAACCCACATCCGCTATATTAAACTCAAAATTAAAAACGAATTGGGTGCAATGAATTTAATCTAGTTTAATATTTTCTCACCTGTGAAATCTTATTATTAACTTGATGCTGAGCTTCCTCATGAACCACCGCAAGTTCAGACCTTCTGCCATCTCCATCACTCTTCTCAGCTTTCTTGGAAACAATGTGGGACCTACTCTTCCTTCCCAGGAGCCCCTTCCACCTTGTTGACGACGAACCCTTCGGCGGCCTGGATGACGAAACGTCATCGTCATGATCCTCCCCGTGGAGCAGCTCATCTCTGAGAGTGGTGGTGCTCCTCCGCGTCTGGCTGCTGCAGCCGTCCTTGAAGGGCAGCAGCCTGCCCTTGAAGAAGAGCTCGTCAGCGCTCATCATGGAATAGTTGGAAACGGAGAACTCAAAATCCGAGGAGACGGCAGGTGGAGCAGCCGCCACCTCCCTCCGGATTTCATGGTGGATGGCATCTGCAAAGTCATTGGAGAAGGAGATTCTTGGGCTCATTGGAGGAGGAGGAAGAGGAGGAGCAAACTTATGCTCTGATGGGTTGTACATGTCTAAGCAGGCTGCCATTAGATTTCAAATCAACCCTTAGTAAATACAATTCAAAAACCCAACATGTATATGTGTGTATTTATATCCAATATATGTGGTGATTTTTTATGAATTCAGAATTATTATTATTATTTTCAGAAAATATATGCGCACATTTTTATGCATGCATGCCTGATGTGATGGGTTTTGTCATGACATGATAAATTGGGGGCATTGAATGGTAACCAATTAAATCTTGAGGGGGAGTACAGTCTCCAATATTTTCACTGCTTTCCTTGGATGTGGGTGAAGCTGCCAAGAAGCACACCATGTACTCCTTTTTCCTTTTTATTCCAGTGCCTTGGACTTGGGTGAAAAGAATCATATGATTCATATCAAACCCTAGTTTCACGAAGATTCAATTAGTATGTTAACACAGTGCTAATCAAAATTTACTACAAGATGTAATCTTATAATATTGGATGCGTTCATGCTTATGTATATATAATATATGAATATTACTAAAATATTATATCTCATGAAGATTCTAAGAAAATTTCCTTTGGGTTAAACAATTAATAGATTAGTTTATGTGATGGACCACATCAAATGTACAAAGTACATGTACAAATTGTACAGGCTGATCAGAAGGTGATCAAAATTTTGAAGGGTAGAAGATTTTAAACAGTAAAAAAAGAAGGATAATGATATGCTGCAGTCTGGTGTAGGTTAACTGTATGAGCCTTGTTAATTAATTAGAAAAATTAATTAATCAACATATCTTTTTTCTTTATTTGGATGTGATGATCATGGAAGCAAAGGCTGGCAGGATCAGGGATTTCACAAGAAGGGTATGCAGCATTGATAATGCAAAGCATGGATGCAGGTTTTGCTGAGATGGCAAAATTGTGAAAAAGGTGATGAAAACTGGGGCCAAGAAAGATGCGAGCCTCAGAAATCAGAATGCATGGGAGAGGGAGGACAGTGCATAAATGGCCAAATTGAGTACTCACAAACTTGGGGCCAGCCACAGTTTGTGGGGATGTTTTCAGTTTGAATCCATTGCTGGAAGAAAGCAACACCATCAATGTTCTTTTTTCTCCTTTAAATTTGAAAGACAAAAACAAACAGACATGAGCGTAATCACATTGGCTCGCTAGACCAAATGTAATCCTTCCAATGCAACCAAGTTATCATTACAGTCTTCATGCAGTTTATATTAGTTCAATGTAGAATAGGTATCTCACTTCTTCTTGACCTCCTACAAGAGGTGAAGAGGAGAGTGTAGAAAACACTCATTTAAATTTAACATAAATAATCAAACGTGGACATGGCTACTTTAATTACAGAATATATGACGATATGTAATTTTTATATATCTGAGTTCGAATTTTATTCTTTGCAATTTCGATCCGTCTGAGTTAGAATATCATTGGTATAAAAAACAAAAACAAAAAAGAAGTCTTTTTATTTTGGTGAATTAAAGAAAAAAAAAATGTTTTGAACGTTGAAATATAAATGCAATGGCAATGCAAATTTTGGGACACAGTCACAGTGACACAGAGAAGCGCAGTGGAGGGCAGAATCCAGAGGGGGTTGGCATGCATTGTCATCGTTGACCGAGGTTTGACTGCTTAGTGGATATGCAGATGCAGTGAATGAGCTGGCGACATCGACTGGTCAAGGGGACCACGTGATCAGGGTTGCCTTGCATTCCATAAAATAATATTCATAATTAAAATTAAAATTAGAAACGTGCATAGGAATAGGAGGATTTGCTAATTCGGGCACCCCTAGAGACGGAAATGAATATTTTTTTTAACAAACGATATTATCTATATTAAGAAAGAATGAGTGGACTAAATTTCATAATGGGTGAGCCATAATAATGTGGTTCAAATTGACATTTGACGATAATCGAATTAAGATCTTTTACTCACAAGTGAAGAGAAATACTACTAAATCGTAGTCCTAAGTGGTTGGAAGAGATTGATTTGATTAGTTTAGCTAATTACAAAGACTGGTGAATTAATTAAAGGAGGAAAATTAAAGAATATATTATTGTTTACATGGAAAATTGGGGTGCTCCTATTAACTGTACGCCTCATGCAAAACCCCAGTGCCGTATGTACGGTATGATTCATTGTTACTTGTATATACTGGAAGAGATCACGTGAGCACGTGCAGAAGCTAATGTCCTTCCTGAGATGGTGCCATGGTGGTGGCCGAGCTAGTTTGCTGTTAGCCACTGACACAATCACACCATTTCTTTCTTTGGGTTCAGAAGAGAGAGAGTTTTCTGCACCGGTGTACATCATACATTGCGATATTTTTACTGTTGGAATTTTGACCGCTCACTCAACTCTTTATTCAACCGATATACGTCGAGCATGTAACATTTCATAGATAGATGGTAGGACGTGGAGACTAGAGTGTATTCAAACTCTACGCAATCCAAACGGAAAGCGAACCCAAATATTCAATAAGAATTATAGATAACTCGATTAAGTATAGATAATCTCATTTAGATATTTAATTAAATAAATAAAAAAGATTTTAAATCTTTACATTTTTATTAAAAATTATTCACTAACTTTATTTTAATAATAAGAACAAAAGACTAATAAGACAAAAAAATAATAAAAATAAAAACCTAATAAACCCAACTTGTGCTGGGGTGCGTACCCCCCCCCTTTTTCTCTGACCTTTTTGTTCCATCGTCAGCTACATTAATAAAAAAAATTGCTTAGAATAAGAAAAATACTTCGAATTGAATTACATTTTCCTGTTTTATTTTTGTGGTGTTGTTTTCTAATAGTAGTTATGATGACGAGAAACTTTTCAATATGTTCAGAACACGGGATGTTACACTCTATACAAGTTGTGAGATTCTTGTGTTAAAAAATTAATAAAATAAAAAATAAAATTTTCCATCACTTATATAATAACACATGGTATATCATTTGTGTTATGAGCACAAGGAAAAATTTCTCCAAGATGATACCCAAGCTCATGAAATTGGATGGAGAGCTACATTTATTATTGTAGGTATATGAAAAAAGTGAGGAAATTTTAATTTGGTAATTGAAAACGGCTTTTTAAATGTAATTACTGAGAACAAAATCTTCTCAAGGTTTTGATCTAAAGAGTCACTTTTGGATTCATCGTTTTCGGTGCAATTGGTGCTTTTACAGGACCAAAAATGGTCTAAGTTTCAAATCTTATGAAATTGAACCACGAATTAAACACTATTTATAAAACTTCACCAATAAGTATACACTATTCATGAAACTAGACCAATAAGTAGACACTATTCATGAAATTAGATCAATAAGTAGACACTATTTATGAAACAATAACAAGAATTAGGCATTATTTCCAAAACTAAACCAATAGGTGGAAACTATTTATGAAACTGGACTATACACTATTTATGAAATTGGAGTTAGAACTAGACAATATTTATGAAACATGACTAATAACTAGGCACTATTTATGAAACTGGACCAATAACTATACACTATTTATGAAAACGGGTCAAGAAAGACATACTATTAATGAAACTGTACCAATTACTATACATTATTAATGAAATTGGACCCAATAACTAGGCATTATTTATGAAACATGATCAAGAACTATACACTATTTATGAAAGTTGACAAAAAACTAGGCACTATTTATGAAATTGGACCAATAAATAGTATAGTACCGTTCAGTTTCATAAATAGTTTCAGTTTCATAAATAATGTTCATTTTCATAAACAACGTTTAGTTTCATAAACAATATACAGGTCTTGCTCACACATTAGATTGTTTTTTTTAATTTAAATTGTGTCATTTTCATTAAAAATTAAGTTTTTTTGTCCTTTTTATTAAAATTTAAGGGGTTTTCATTAAAATTTAATTCTTTTTCATTAAATAAAGTTATAGCATGATTATTTTGTTAAAATAAACTTAGCCCAAACCCTTTTCATGAAAGTTCCCATAAATAAATTATGATGATCTTATTTTATTTGGTTTTTTAAGAAATTAAGGGATTTTATTATCTTGTTTTCTTTAGATTTGGCATTTAATACAAGTGATCTTGTCATTTTGGATATGGTACACGTCACTGATTTTCCTGCAACTTGGTAGGTCTAACATGAGCATGGGTTTTACGTAGAATCCATTCCAATATACAGAAAAATTGCATGATAAGTAATTTATTTAATTCTAGATTTATAAATAGGATCAAATCTTCTAATTTGTCTCAAATTGAGTAGACTGAGGACGGAAAGAAAACAATGATGTATTGCTTTCAAAAGAAAACATGTATTAGTACAAAAAGAAACAAGATGTTTTGGGTTAAATTTAACTGAATGAGAGAAAGGATGCGGCGGCAAAGAGAGAGAAAAAAAAAGTATAAGGAAATTATGTGTGTGTGCCTTTATTTATAGTAAACATAGTGTTTAACGGGCTTACTTGCCCTACAAGTAAGAAAGCCTAAAATCTTCTTGATCACATAGGAATCTTAAATATTTACACCAATCACACGTGTGCACAAAAATAATTTCACTAAATTTGAGTTATATATATATATATATATATATATATATATATATTTATGAATTTGTCAACAATACTTACATGTATTTAATCCAATTATTTTTGTTTCACTTAATAAACAACATTATATTATAAATGAATAAATAATGCAATACTTACATGTATTTAATCTAATTATTTTCATTTCACTTAAAAATGACATTATATTATAAATTAATAAATAATGCATGAAAGATGAATTAAAAGTAAAAATAACTACTGACGGATCTTATTACCATACAAGTTAAATAATTACTTAAAAATGATCGCTGAAGAAAATTTACACACCGAAATACAAAATTAACTGTGAATATACTAGCACAACAAAACATGTGTCTTATTTTTCATGAATCTTCACAATATCTGTGAATAGAATTTGTCCATACAATACAATTATTTTGGGATAATTATTGGAAGAAAGAAGAAACAGGGGACCAAGAGAGAGAATTGGAAGCTTTGAAACTCAACTTGCAAGCAAAGGACATGGCTGTC